TGACCACACCAAAGATCCACACAAGACGCTGGGCATCAGTGCACTCCAACTCCCGCCCCAGGAAGAGCTCTGGGACAGATCCAAGACGGGGTCCGGGATGTCACGCCCGTTGTCGCGAGCCTCGCGCAGCAGATCCTCGTACTGCTGCAATCTCTGTCTGGGGCCTGAAGGCAGGCAGGCCCGACCCAGCTCATCAGGTGTATGCCCCTGGACCTCAATGTGCCTTTCAATGGCAAGATGCTTCAACTCTGCCACGATGTCGTCTTCACTCGAAACAAAGAAGTCATGTCCCGAAGCCAGAACATGACCACCACACACTGAAAGGAAAGTGTCTCGTGTGAAGGGCATCAAGAGCTCAAACCTGGGGCCCACCGTCCATGAGAAACTGCGTGGGCGCCTGAATGGTGCTCCTACATCCACAGGGGAGACCTGCAGCACGGACGTGCACCATCCTTGCTCCGCTGGGAAAGCGCATTCGTACGTTTCCTTTGAAGAAAACAAATGCGAGCACTCTTGAAGCATCCAGTCTGCTCCAGTTTCTGCCGTTCTAACGAACCATATCGAAGCAGCCACGGCTGTCGAGTGAACCCATCGGTCCTTGGACCCTTGTGGTGAGAATGCGACACAGGGGTTTCCCCCCACCTCGAACCGGATGTCACCATCGCTCATGTTGGGCAAGAACGGGCAGTCCTGCTGACATATGAGACACCAGCCCTTATCGTTGGTGCGGCCCCCTTGGCAGGCTCGCTTCACCTCCTTGAACAGCTTCTCCATGCAGCGCTGACTCAAGGCCTCCAGCTGGCCCTTCACGTTGATGCCGCCGTTCGCCTTGATGTTATCGGCCCTCCTCTTCATTTCACCGACGATGAACTCAAGCTTCTGCACCACCTCCAAATTCATCTGCTCAGTGATATCCCGGAAGAGATGCATGGGTTTCACCTTCGATGCCATAAGCATGTCCTGGCAGCGGGCATCATTCTGGAACGCTGACCAAAACCGAAAAGGTCCGAAGTGGCTCTCCATGCCGATGCCGCCCAGCTCCTGACTGGCTATGCGACTGAAGACATGCTCAAAGGTGCCGAGGCCGGAGTACGCTGAAGTTACCCAAATCTTCCTCTGCATGTACCCCGACAGTTGGGAAGCGAGCCCATGCCTTGCAAGCAATGCATCCTGCAACCGGGGTATATCATCTGGCCAGTCCGACAGCTTGCTTGTATAGAAAGCCCAAAGTCTTCTGTCTGCAGCCGCAACAACTTGCCAGGCCCACCGCCGTCGTGAACCCGGCTCCTTTTCGACATCACAGGCGAGCCTTATTCTAGAATATACGCAAGCTTTTTGAACATCCAACCTCGAACCCAACCTTCAGCCCAGTGGCTTAGTGCTGAACTATTTCCAGCCTCCAGAGGCTGATCATGCTCACACCCACGAATCCCAAGAACATGTGAGCTGACTGTGAGAAGGAACACGATTCTCATGCGGTCATCCATACAAACACAAGGCTCCGGACACGATTCCCAGGACAGCACTGGCAAAACTCGTGCAAACATGGCCTACCATGCCCAACACTTGTCACGGTTTATAGCAAGTTGTTCAGAGCAGTCGAAATGGGATCCCGGCGAAGGCTGCGCAGCTCCTCCAGCTCCAAAACGAAGTGACAGGCCTGGGCGGGACAACGAATGTCACAATTGGGCCATGATCAGGTTGCCGCACACCAAAATGCCCCAAAGTCTCTCAGCCAAGGCTTTTCTGAATCAACTTGACCTGAAAATGCCGAAACTGGCCAAAACATGCCCAAACATATGAAACTCATGGTTTGTCTACAATTGAACACAACTGTCGCGCAAGTGTCGCGCAACCGTCGCGCACCGTCGCGGAGTCAAATTTTGGTCGCGCGCATGATAAGTCAATAGATTCAGGGGCCCGAAACTGGTCGCGCAGGCTGTCGCGGAGCCAAGAACGGGTCGCGCACGAGAAAACAAAGACTCCAGGACATTGTCGCGCAAGTGTCGCGCAACCGTCGCGCACCGTCGCGCACTAGCCCCGGAAGCCAGAATCTAAGCCAAACTGCCTACCGGTATCCGTTTATACTACAATATGGCAGACCAACACCCTGGACTCACCAACTCCGCAACTTTCTGCATTTTCCGTTCCCTGGCGCACGCCGTTTGGCTGCTGGGCTCCTGGCACACCACAATCTGCTGAAGCCCGAGCTGCTCCAGGCCTGGCACAGCACAACTAGCTCCACCACCCCCTCTCGAGGCTCTAAACTTTCACAAATTTTGCCCAAAACCACATCTGCGTAAGCAACCTGCGCCCCAAAACCACTGTAGGGTTTTAG